AGTGAGGGGGCTGGGGAGCCTGTGTGTGGCGGGCTGTCTGGAAAGGCCTCCATCCAATGAACACTGGAGATAATCTGTGCCTCCAGGGCAGGGGAGGGCTGCTGCTGCCAGAATTACCCCACGTGGCCCGGGTGGGATATACACCTGGCTCTGAGTCCCGTGGCCTGGGGGACACGGAGCTGAGGGGGACAAGGATATGTCCCTGCTCTGGGGCCCCCTCTCAGGTGTGGCCCCTGTGGAATGACAAGGTAGGGTAGGTAGGGATTGGGCATGGCTTCCTCACCTGGCTGGGCCCCTCCAGGCACGTTCTCCTCTCCAGCCAAGCAGAGCTGCCCATCTTTGGCCTCCTCCTCTCCATCAATCAAGGCAATCAGGTCTGGTTTGGGGACAGGGATTCCTGGTCAGGAAAGAAGAGAGGGAAGAGGGGACACCTAATGACCCTGTGAGCCCCCGCCAAGGCACCGGGGGCCTGAGGGAGCCCTGGCAGCCGGGGGGGGGGGGGCCGATGCGAGCCCTTGGGACCTGAGGGAAGGCCCCAGGTTGTGTCCATGTCGGGGTGGTGGCCAGCTCAGGGAGACCTCCAGGGCCCACACAGCCTCTGTGACTGCCTGCCTGTCTGTGCGTCTCTGCCACCGGCTCGGTGTTGGCTCCGGGGTCATTACTGGGGTCTGGTCTGTTGACCCTCTCTGCCCAGCTCATCACTCTCTTTCTGCCACCTCTCTGTACATTCCTCTGGGCCTCCTCCACCTCCAGCCCTAAGGTTTCTCTCTCCTGCCCATTCCTACCCAAGCCCATCACGGTCCTCACCAGGATGCCCGTCCCCACCCCATGCCCTTCCGGTCTGTCCTGCTATCCGACCTCCCCTTTGTTCCTCCCCTCAGTTGTGCCCACAGCCTTCTTCCGGCCCACCTACACGCATCCCACCACTAGTCCTTCTCCCCTCCCTCTGTTTCAGCCTGCAGTCTTGGGAAAGAGCCAAGGAGGATGGGAGGTCCTGGGGCCCAGCGAGGCCTCCCTCATTCTCCCTCCCCAGGGTGGGGAAGGAGCCTGGCCCTAAAGGAAGGGCCAGCTCCCTGCCTAATGCCCCATAGTGGGGTCACCCCAACCTCCAACGCTGTCTGATGGACCCAATGCAACGGGGAGCCGGGGAGGCCTGGATAAGGAAACACCCGAAGCAGTGGGATGGGGAGTCAGGATACGAGGTATGGGGGGGCCAGAGCCAGAGGACAGGAAGGGGAGGAGCTGCAGTGGACAGAACACTGAGCTGGCAGGAAGCGGACAGAGGCTTGGGCTGCATTCCGGCTTGGGACCCGCCAGTCAGGCCACTTCTCTGAGCCTCAGTTTCCCATCTGTAAAAAGGGATAGTAATCCATGCTCTCTATTCGTGAGCTATGAAGAGTCACGGAGACGAGGAGAGGGACGGGCGAGAGGGACGCGGGGACCAGACAGAGACAGAGAGGACATGCCCCTGCCTCAGCAGCCCCCAGGACCCACCCGAGGACTCACCGAGGGCACCCAGGTGCCCGTAGCTCTCCCACAGCACGTCCCTGTAGAGCTCCTTCTGGCCAGGTGCCAGGTGCCCCCACTCTTCCCACGAGAAGCTCACAGTCACATCAGCAAAGGTTAGGTCTGCCCTGGCCACGGGTGAGGATCCTGTCAGAGGCTGGCAGTCGGGGAGGCAGCAAAGGGAAAATGGCGTCAGAGGCCACGTCTGCCCAACTCAGGGCCGGGGGCAAGGGCACATCAGGCCCTGGGCCAGAAGCAGACATGAGAAGCAAGTGGGATAGGGGAGAGAAAGGAAGATGAGACTTGGGACAAGAATGAAGGCAGGAAGCCCAGGGCGGGCCAGAGAATCAGGACACCGTGAGGAGTCAGAAATGGAATCCTCTGGGAAAGAGATGGGGAAGGCCCCAGGCTGAGGCCCAGGGGGCTGTGGCTGGGGGCCTGGCCAGGGATGACCACGCCTGGGAGCTCAGAGGACAGGCCCTCCCAGCTCACCTGATACCCAGCTCTGGCTGGGGGCACCTCCACACCAGGGTCTCCATTCAACCGCTCCTGAGGCCACGGCAGGATTTCAGACATCTGTGGGCCTGGGAGGGGAGAGAGAATGGGGAGCCTGAGAAAGGTGCAGATGTTTCCAAGCTCCCCTTTCCACGAGGGCCCCTGCATCTGGGACCATCTTCATAGGCCCCACAGGTCTGTCCCATCCTCCGGAGCTCACTCCTTCTAAGCCTGACCTAAAGAAAAAGACGTCTCTACCAGAAATCTAAACTCTGCAGAATCCTAAGGTCATCAGACTCAGAGCTGGCCAAATCTCCCCAAAATCAGCTAGGTGATGCTATGGATAGAGCACCAGGCTTGGAGGCAAGAAGCTCTGGGTTCAAATCCAGCCTCAGACACTTACTAGCTGTGTGACTCTGGGCAAGTCACTTGACCCTGTTTGCCTCAGTTTCCTCATCTGTAACATGAGGAGAACAAGAGCACCTACCTCCAGGGGCAGCTAGGTGGCGCAGTGGATAGAGGACCAGCCCTGAAGTCAGGAAGACCTGAGTTCAAATCCGGCCTCAGACCAAACACTCGACACTTACTAGCTGTGTGACCCTGGGCAAGTCACTTAACCCCAATTGCCTAAAAATTAAAAAAAGACAGCACCTACCTCTGGATCAAAGGAGAAAATATTCGTGAATATGTGCTTGGCACATAGGAGCTTACGGAATGCTCGCTGCCTTCTCTTCTCAAATTACAGATGAAGAAATATGCGCAGGGGAGGGGACCCGCTCGAGGTCACACAAGCAGCAGAGCCAGGATTCCCACTCAGGGCCCTTTCCTGCCTCCTTGTCTACACTGGAGGGTGTGTCTTCTCCCGCCTCCTGACCCTCTATGTTACAGTCTTGGTGGGAAGGGAAGCTGGGTGGCCCCTGCCCCGCTCTGGGCCTCAGCGGAAGGCTTAGGACTGGCTAAGGCGTCTTCCCGCTGACCCTCCGCAGTGTGGGGTCTACAACAGCCCAACTTCCTTCGGCGTCCCAACCCACCAAAGGTAGTTGTTACTTCTCCAGGTTCTGGAGGTAACCCTGAGGGGTTATGGCTTCTAGTAATGTTGCTCACGAGCCCCTACTGGCCGGCTTCCAATTTTAATCAGCCAGTAGACAGCGATCCTTTTAAGCAAAAGGTATACAGTAGCAGTTAATATAAAATATGCCCCCTGGCCAAATGTCTGGGGCACACTCCCTCAAAAGTGCATTCAGGCCCCCCATAGCCAAAAGGGAAAACAACCTCCCCTGGTACTGCAGTCCTTTCTTGAGTCAACCACTTGCACTGCTCTCTAGCACAAGAGCTCACCCTCTGCTCCTTGAAGAGGCGTCCTCCCTGAGGTGTCTTTCTGCATACATCTGTGTTCTCCTTTGTCCATGTTTGTTCTCAGTGTCTCTCTCTACTCCCTGGCTGGCTGTGTGGTGAATGGTCCTGCCTCCCCAAGACACAGTCAAAGAAGTTAGGGGAAGAGTGGAAGGGCCAGTACCGGACAGGCGCAAGGGAATCCTCCTCAAGACCCTTAATGGAGAACCCGGGATCCTCCACCTCAGTCCTCAGGCCTACCACTAACAGAGAACCACTGTCATTGCTCCAGTACCTCAAGTCCTCAGGAACACACTTTGTTTAAGGAATTCTCCCCTAGTCAAGGGACCATAGGATGTGGACGACCTTGGTGAAATAGGATGGACTGAGGTGGGCATTTCCACCTCCTCCTCTTCCTCACATGACTGGCCTTCTCTCCACTGACCCAGCCATAAGCCTGCTTCAGGACCTCACCACCCTTCTCTTAACTGGAGTCCTCACCCCTAGTCTCCACCCAATCCAACCCACCCACCACACAACTGCCAAAGAGACTTTCCTAAAGCACATGGCTCCACTCCTCCGCATCCTGCAGTGACTCCCTATGGCCACCAGGGTAAAACATCTCCGCCTTTGTTCAGCATTTAAAGTTCCTACGGATGATCCCCTGCAGCTGAACCTCCACGCCTCAGGGTACGTCACCGCCTTCACACTCTCTCCTCCACAAACTCGCCTTCTTCTTGGGGCTCGGACACAGCACCCAATCTCCCACCACAATGCCTTTGTGGGGGACGTCCGCCCTGCCTAAAATGGATCCCATCCCTCCGCCTCTTAGAAGCCTGTTTCCTTAGAAGCACAGCTCAAGAATCGGTTTTGACATGAGACCTTTGTGATCCCCAAAGCCACCAGTGACGCCTCAAAAAATTAGCCTGATTACTTTTCATCCATCTTGATACATGGATATCGTCATCATCCCCCACCTCTCACTGCATCAGAACATAAACTCTTCCAGGGTAGGGATGCTTCGTTTTTGTCTTTGTAGCCCCAGCTCCCAGCACACGGCGCTGGGCACACTGCAGGTGCTTCCTAAATGCTTGAGGCCTTGGGGACACTTCATCCCGACTTCACCCTCCAGCCCTTCATAGGAAGGCGGGCTTTCACCAGCATTAGCCGCCAACTCCCTAGCATGGTGTCCGGCCGAGAGCACTTGATCCGGTACCAGGGCGCCTGGGCAGGAGACTGTGCTCAATGCCTCCTCTGTGACCCTGGGCCAAACCTGAAATCCCAGGATTTACATCCCCAGAGCTCCAGTCCCCAGGCCCAGATCAACAACATGTGGAGTCGGGAAAGAGCTAGCAGGTGTGACGGCAGCAACGGCAGAAAGGCCAGAGAGGCAGCGGCTCAGCCAGCCTGAAGGGCCAGTGCTGACCGTCCTGAGCCAGGGAGCCCAGCTACAGTTCCTGGTAAAGTTCTAGAGCAGGGATGGGGAACCTGTGGTCTCGAGGATTTGTCCTGTAAATTTGGATTCCGTCGAAAGGCTGCACTTACGGATTCAGAGAGCCACGTGTGGCCTTGAGGCCACAGGCTCCCCACCCCTGTTCTAGAACAGAGTATTAAAGGGATGGTTATAGAACATGTGGCTTCATCTGAACCGGCTGTGCTGGCCAGACCTTATTTGCTCCTTTCAGAGCATCGCTAGACAGGCCCTAGAATTTAACAAGGCCATACACAATCCTTCACGCTACTGTGTGGGCAAGACAGGAAGAAGTGGGTGAGGAGAGGGCACAGCGGGGAAGACCGGCCTGGCTGAAGGGGCGGCCCCAGAGCTTGTACCGAGTTCCATACCGATGGTTTCCTAGGTGAAAGGTACACTGCTGGAAGGCAGGGGCCAGGCTTGAGTTCCTTCTGTGTCTCTAACACCTAGAAAACAGTATGAGCTTAACACATGACCTTGGAGGGAAGTCTCTAATGAAGTGCCTCTGGGCTCTGCAGCTGGCACTGGGCTGCTTGCCATCTTAAGCAGTGGCCTGGACCAAAGCAGAGAAGGTGCAGCCATCAAGCCTCCAGATGCCACAAAGAGCAGGGGCAGTGCAAACACCCTGGGCAATACGGACAAGGTCCAAAAGATCCTGCCGCTGGACTGTGGAGCTGAACCTAGTAAATCGGCATTTAACAGGGACACACGGCATGTCCAACGTGTGAGTTCAGACAAATCGATGTAAAGGCCTGGCAGGGAAAGGCTGAGATCCAAAGTCTGCTAGGAAGAGTGCCAACAGAGAATCACCAGACCACAAGAACAGACGGCACCAGCGTTGCAGAGAAAAAGGAGGCAGGCACTGCCCCTCCACGAGTACATACTGGTCACCCGTGTTCCTTCCATGTGAATGCTTTACCAATTACCTCCATGCTGTCTGCTCTTCCCACTGAGGGAAGGTCAATTTGCAGGACAGTCAAGTCAAGGTTTACAGGAGGGCCAGTTCCTAACAGTATTCTTTTAAATGCTTCTCTTGTGAACTATGTCCTCTGGATGACTAGCAAAAATATACTAGTGGGGGCTCATGACCTATGCTTCAGCCCCTCAAAACACCTAGACGGGGGTGGGGAACCTGGGGCCTTGAGGCCATGTACAGATCCTAGGACTTGTTCCATAAAATTAGGATTCAGTCAAAAGGCCACACTGAAGGATCTAGAACAAGTGTGGGGAACCTGCGGCCTCCAGGCCCCATGTGGCCCTTAAGATCCTCAAGTGCGGCCCTTTGACTGAATCCAAACTTCACAGAACAAATCCTTTGTTCTGTAAAACTTGGATTCAGTCAAAAGGCCGCACCCAAGGACCTAGAAGGCCACAGGTTCCCCACCCCTGAAGAAGGTGGGGGAGCTAACTAAAGGCCCAGAGTGAGGGGTCCCCAGATGTTACCTTCTCATATACATGAGGAGGAAAGCAGAGATAGACAATAGTTTATGTAAAAAAGACTCGAGTTTTCATGGACTGCCAACTCTCAACATTTCAGCAGTGAGATGCAGGAGTCAGTAAAGCTAACGAGAACTGCCCTGGAGGGCTGTGCCCAGTTCTGAGCACGCCCGTGGAAGGACACAGGTGAGCTGCAGAGGTTGCACAAGAGGGCCAGGATGGGGAAAGGCCCTGAGAACATGGCATTGAAGGACAGTAGAAGAACCTGCAAAAGAGAAGATTCAGAGCTACTCTCTGAAAGGCTGTCGTGGGAAAGGAGGAGTGACCGTGCTCGGCCCAGCCCCACGGGGCAGCGCCAGGAGCAAGGAGCAAGGGGCAAGCGCAGGGCTTCTAGGAGAACGGCCTGAGAGCATGGGCAGAGGCCCGAGGCCCACTGGGCTTTCCCTGAGGGCAGGGCTTTGAGCAAAGGCCAGAGGGGCCCATGTCAGGGATTCTGCCTAGCCCCGGCTGGGACCAGGAGCCCCCTAATGTCACAGCCAACTTTGGGGCTCCCTTCTACTCCTCTGCTCTCAGTTTCCTCATCTGTAAAAGCAGGGGCTGGGGGTGGCCTCCAGGAGCTCCCAGGAGCCGTTCCGCTACCAAGCCGAGAATGCACACCCCAGAGCCAGGGAGCTCTCTCTCTCTCTCTCCTTGGTGCCCTCTCGCTGACCCTCAGCCCCCGGCCGGGCCAGTCCGTCCTCACCGTTTTCTTCCAGCTCGCGGTCCAGCCCCTCCAGCAGGCCCAGCACCTCCTCGGCCCTGGTCAGCTGCTCCTCCCTCACACGGTCCTGCACCTGCCTGGGCAGCAGGGTCAGGAACTGCTCCAAGACCAGCAGCTCCAGAATCTGCTCCTTGGTGTGGATGTCTGGTCTCAGCCACCAGTGACAGAGCTCCCGGAGCCGGGCCAGGGCCTGCTGGGGCCCCGCAGCCTCCCCATCACGTCCAAAGTGGCGGAAATGCTGCCTCGAGGACTCGGGGTCGGGCACCTCGTCACACGCAGCCTCCTCCTCCTCTTCCACCTTCACCACCAGCAGCCCGTCCAGGCCCAGCAGGGCAGGGGCCTGGCCTCCGGGGGCACTGGCCATGGCGGAAGGGCATCTCTGGACCAGGAGGCTCCTCTTTCTTCTCTTCTCCATCAGACTCAGTGACCTCCCAGCATTCCTGAGGCTGGGAGAGAAGGAGGCAGATCAGGTCCTGGGCACGCTGGCCCGGCTGGCCCCAGTCTCCTCTGCCAGGCCACTAGGTGGGCAGTCTGACTGGCCGGGTGACCTGAGCCGGACCCTCCCCTCCCCCCTCCCTCGCCTCTGCCTGCCCCCCTACTTGGCAGGGCTGTCGGGGTGTTCTAGAAGCCCCCGGACACCCCAGAAATGGGAGGGAGCACTTTGAGTATCCTTTTTACAAAAGGGGAAACTGAGGGCAAGAGCAGGGAACGGTTACTCCCGTTTGGGAGAAGAGAGGGCTGAGGTCCGGGAGGGGCAGCACTGCCTCCCCCCGGCCCTGGGCGAGAGCGGGGCCAGAATCGCCGGCTCCACCGCACGGGGAGGAAGGGGAGCCACGGGCAGACAGAACGCTGTCCAAGGTTACTCCCAGGGACACTTTGTTGCAAAGCTGGGATCTGCCCGGGGGCCCCGCGGTGAGCCCTCCCCTGGGGCGTGGGGGGCATGGCAAGGCCAGGGCTGGTGCCCGCGGAGACGACGGCTTGGCCGCACTGAGATCGCCCTCCCGAGCGGCGTCGGGCACAGAAGAGGAGCCGCGAAGGGGGCTGCGGCCGGCCAGGGCACTCACCTACCCTGCGGGGCTCAGCCGGGGGGCCTCCTCATGGCCGGCTCCAGGACCCGCTCGGCCGCCCGGCTGGATGTCCGGCGCGGAGCGGAGCGGGGAGTCTCCTCCCTGCAGGCAGGCTCCTCCTGGGCCGCCGCCTCCGCCGCCTCCTCCTCCTCCTCCTCCTCCTCCTCCTCCTCCTCCTCCCCCTCCTCCCCCTCCTCCTCCACCTGCAGACACACACACCCAGAGCAGAGAAGCAGTAAGTGCGGGGCTGAATGGAAGCAGGGGAGAGAGAAAGGGAGGGGATGGAGGGGGAGGGGATGGTGGGGATGGAGAAGGGGGGCGGGGGAGGGGATGGAGAGAGAGGGGAAGGGGAGAGAGGGGGAGGGGAGGAGGGGATGGGCAGGGGGAGGGATGGACAGGGGAGGGAATTGAGGAGGTGGAGAGGGGGGAGAAGATGGAGGGGGGAGGGGATGGAGGGGAAGAGGATGGAGAGGAGGGAGGGGGAGGGGAAGGGGGAGAGGAGGGGATATGGGAGAGGTAGGGGTGGACTCGGAGGGGAGGGGGAAAGGATGGGGGGAGAGGGAAAGGATGGCAGGAGGGGGGGCTGGAGGGGGAGGGGAAGGGAGGAGGAGGGGGAAGGGAAGGCATGGAGGGGGAGGGGAGCATAGTGGAGGAGCAGGGGAGGGGGAGGGGAAAGAGAGGAGGAGATGAGGGAGGGGAGGGGAGAGGAAGGAGGGGGAGGAAAGGATGAGGGCGAGGGGAGGGGGAGGGCTGAGAAGGGGCGGGGGAGAGGGTGCGTTGGCCCCGCCCTCACCTCGGCCCTGCCTCAGCTTCCCTCCTCCCCTCTCTCTTTCTCTCTCTTTTTCCCCCTCTCCCTGCCCCGCCCCGGCTGCCCTGCTAGCCTCTCATTGGCTGCTTGCTGACACGTGTGTCCAGGCCGCGGCTTTCTGTTGGCGGTCGCCTCCAGAAATTCGCCCCGGCGTCTCCTGGGAAACGTAGTTCTGTGTGGTGACTTCGTCTTCCCGGGGCTACGCGCCTGCGTCTGAGTATGTCCTTGGGTCTTCTCGGCGTAACCATGGCTCCGGGGATTCCTGTCCAATCAAATCTGCGCCGCCGTGGCCCCGCCCTCACCATCAGACTCTCCGGGAGCGGAAGGGGGTGGTGGGAGTGGGCGGAGTCATGCAAATTAGGTCCAGGCCGCCGACCTCCTGGTGCAGAAGGACCCTTAAGCAAATCCCGGCGTCTAATGCCCTTATTTTACAGATGGGCAAACCGAAGCCCTAAGAGGGGGAGAAAGTTCCTCGATGTAGCTGACTAGGGCGCTTAGAGATCATCAGCTCCGTCATTTTACAAATGGGGAAACTGAGGCTGGACCTCACGCGTGTAGGACGGGGCTCCCCTCTGAGCCCTCCCTCCCGCCCCCGCACCGCTTCTTCCTTAGTACCTGACTGTGTGATGGAGCTTGGGTGTGCCCTCGAGGAGCTTACATTCTAAGGGGGGGCCCAGTATGGCTCCTAGACGTAGGAAAGGCCCTGCTGCGAGGCCAGCCCCTTACTTTACAGAGGAGAGGCAGAATTCGAACCCAAGGCTTTAAATCCTGCATATGTCTGTTGTGTTTATAAACGCAAAATAGAAGGTCATTTTAAATATAAAAAATCTCTATCCATGTGTAGCTACGGATAGATGTGTATCTATAGAGAGACAGATATGGTATAGCTGGATATCTGTGTCATCCATCCATCCATCTATACTTACATGTATATCCAGATCAGGGAAAGGGGACCAGTCACTGAGGTGAAGGCCTTGAAGGACTGTTCGAGGCAGAGACAAAGAGGAAGCTGGCCCTGCCCTTGGGGAGCTTCCAGTCTGCTGAGCCCAAGAACCACTCCCATTCAATCCTACCGCAGTTTATAAATAAACCGCATCAGGGAATGCAGAGATGATTACAACCACATAGCCTACAGTAGAGGCACAAAGTTCGCCCATGTGCCGCATGTAATGTCCCTGGCATCGACCCCAAAAGGGCTGTGGAACACAGGCTGTATGTGCCAGGCCAATCAAACTATGAGAGGTATGACTTTAGAGAGGAAAATAATGAGATTCTGGAGAAACAAAAAGCCAAGAATCTCGAGTGAAATCATGAAATTAACTGGGAAAGAAGGGGGCCTACCCAATCTCAAACTGTACAGCAAAGCAATAATCATCAAAGAGTATTTGGTACTGGTGAAAAAATAGAGGGGTCCATGGTGGAATGGAGTAGATAGACGACACACAACATAGTAATCTAGTGTTTGATAAACCCAAAGGCCCCACAGGTAAAGACACACTCAGCTCACCCCTGGGCAGATACTACTGGGAAACTGGGAGGCTGTCCGGCGGAAATTAAGCATCAACCATGATCTCATACCATATAACCAGATAAGATCCATAAAGGTGATGTCTCAGATTCTGTGAGTGAGGAAGAAATTTCCTTCCAGATCTATGGATAGGAGAAGAATTCATGACCAAACAGAGAATACAGAGATGTGATTACATACAATTAAAAGGTTGTTCACAAACAAAACAAATACTGTTAAAATTAGAAGGGAAGCTGGCAGCTGGGAAAAATCTTTTCAGCAAGTTTTCCTCATTAATGTCTCTTTTCCAAGCTATATAAGGAACTGATTCAGGTTTATAAATCTAAGAGCCATTCTCCAACTAATAAAGTCAAGGGATATGAACTGGCAGATTTCAAAGGAGAAAGCCAAGCTATCAACAACCACATGAAAAAAAATGCTCTAAATGACTTATTTGTGGTTAGAAAAATTAGAGAAATGCAAATTAAACCAACTCTGAAGTTCTACTCCATACCCATCAGATTGGCAAAGATCACCAACGTTGGGGGGGCTGATCAGGACCAAGAGATAGGAATGGGTCCACTCCTCCTGGAAGGCAGTTTGGAACCAAGCCCAGCAAGTGTACTTTGACTCAGGATGCCTATGTGCAAAAATATTTACAGCAGTATTTTTTTGTGATAGCAAAAACTAGAAACTGAGGGTATTTGAGAATCATCTGAACAAATGATGGTATGTGAATGTAATGAGATATTGTTGTACCATTAAGAAATGATGAGGGTCAGCTAGGTGGCGCAGTGGATAGAGCGCCGGCCCTGAAGTCAAGAGGACCTGAGTTCAAATGCGGCCTCAGACCAAACACTTGACACTTACTAGCTGCGTGACCCTAGGCAAGTCACTTAACCCCAGTTGCCTAAAGCAAAAAACAAAAAACAAACAAAAAAAGAAATGATGAAAGGGATAGTTACAGAAAAATCTGGGAAGACTTGTATGAACTGATGCAGAGGGAAGTAAACAGGACCAGGAGAACAATTTCTACAATGATAACAATGTTGTGAAGCAAAACAACTTCGAAAGACTTTATCTGGATAAATTAACCCCCCAAGATTACAAAGTATCGATGATGAAGCATGCTCTGCGCCTCTTGACAGGGAGGTGTAGATGTAGAGCAGTAAGACATATATTCTCATGGACCATGTGGGACTTTGTTTTGCTTGACTGTATGTGCAGGAATCCTCAGTGGAGGGAAAAGTGAAACCTCATGAACAGCAGAAGCAATCATAGACCAGAACAGCTTTTTGAGGTATATGGTGAATTTATATGCCGAGCTCCTTAACAAGCTCTAGGGATCCTCATCTTACCTCCCACTCCACTGACGAATCCAGTCGTCTTAGTACAACATTAGCTATTGTCTCCCTGAGGGATTAGGGATATTGTTTTCTTTTTTAAATAATTTTTACTGTTTCCTCTCTTATATTACCATAGTATTTCATGTATCCCTCCCTCTCCCCATCCCAGAGAGCCATCCCATATGATAAATAGTGGTTTTTGTTTTTTTAGAGAGGAAAAAAAAACAGCATGACTCATCAATACGTTGAAAAAATCTGAAAACACCTGTGGACCTCCGCACTCCAGGAAGGTGTGGCTTGGGGGTATCTTCTCATATCTCTTTATTTGAGTCTTGCTTGATCTTTGTAATTTTGTTCATTAACTTTTGATTTTTTTTTATGTCATTCTTTCCATTGACGTTGTTGTAGTCACTGTGTGTGCTGTTTTCTTGGCTCTGTTGACTTCATTCAGCGTCAGTTCGTGTAGACCTTCCCAGACTTCTCGGTCTCCATCACACGTATCATTTCATCAATGGCTTCATTGGGGTATAAGTCCAGTAATAGAATCTCTGGTTCAAAAGATATGGATAGTTTAGTCGCTTTGTTTGCATAATTCCAAAATGCTTTCCAAAATGGCTATAACATTTCACAACTCCACCAGCAATGTATCAGTGTGCCTATCTTCCCACAATCACTCCAACTTTGACAGTTGACATTTTTGTCATTTTCACCTATTTGCAAGGTGTGAGGTGGAACTTCGGGGTTGCTTTGATTTGCATTTTTCTTATTATTAGTGATTTGGAGCATTTTTTCATGTGGTAATGAATACTTTTCAGTTCTTTTGAGAAATGTTTGTGTATATCCTTTGATGATTTTATGTACTGCTGAATGGCTAATAGTCTTATATATATGTATATACATATATACATATATATATGTATATATATACATATATATATGTATGTATATATATATATATTGTTTATATATCTGAGATACCAAGCCCTTATCAAGAAATTTGGTACAAAGATTTTTTTCCCCATTAGATCACTTCCTTTCTCATCCAAGATATGTTAATGTTTGTTCAGAAGCTTCTCAGTTTCAAGTAATCAAAGCTACCTATTTTATCCTTTATACTAGCCTCTATCTTTTGTTTAGTTAAAGAATACATCTGTCACCCATAGCAGTGACAGGTGCATGATTTGTTTCTCTTCTAATTTTTTATAGCGTAAGATTTAATATTAAGGTCACGGGTCCATTGTGTAATGTGGTGTAAGATGTCGGTCTAAACTTAATTTCTGCCAGACTGCTTTCCAGTTTTCCTAACACTTTTTTTTTTAATCACCTTGAAAGATTTTTCCCTAGGTAATCTATGCTTTCTACGTTATCAGACACTGGGTTATTGGCTTCTATTACTTCTGAGTCTCACTTATCTA